TTTCCTCAGCATTAATTTTTCCTCAGTCTTTCGACACCTATATTCAATTTCAGTATTTTATTAATTCAACTTAACTTTCATCTTAAACCACACCTTTCAATTCAATTTTTCCTCAGCATTATTCTCAACGGTGAGAATAATTCCACGTATCGCGTGGAAGAGAGAACGATACGTAGGAAATATATGAAAATTTACCGGTAACGGAGATACGGTGTGAGAAGCGTGAAAGAGGAACGTTTGCGCAAAAAGATAAGGGAAACTCCGCCATATATTTGGATGGCGCGTGGCAAGGTGTCACCACGTTTGGGGATCAGGAGAGGAAGAAACAGAGATAAGGGGATCGAGGAAAAACTGGCGACGAATCGTGACTCCGATCCAACCGGATAAATCCCATCCGATATCTTTTCCCCCCCTTCAGAAAATTATAAATAATTTCCAAACCAACATAACTTAATATAAAACATTAATATAAAACAATACTTAAATAGAACGCGTATATAAATAAAAAACTGATAACCGCATCCATATCTCCATCATAAACATACATATATACATACAAATACATATATACATACAAATACATATATATATATATTTAAGAATAATCGAGAACGATACTCCCATTGGCGTAGACTCGAAAAAAAAAAACCGTTACCGTTTACAGATACCAATATTTGCAAAGAATCGAGTATTTTTTTTTTCCTCTGGGACGCGCGATAATGCGCGCGTGGGCGTACTGCGAAGCGTACGCGTTTCTTATTCCTGTTGCATCGACTTCAGCGAGGGAGGGGGGGACGCAGGCTGACGGACGGAGCGCCGCGCCGCGGCGCGCCGGTTGCGCAGCTTGCACGGTTACTGCGTGTGGGATTTACTAATTTCTGGAAGAGAGCACGGCACGAGACCGCTCGATCGAGAGAGAGATCCCGCCACGATGCATGCCATCTCACGGACGGTGGTGGTAGCAGCGCAGGAGGAGAGATCCGCTAATGTCAAGATCAAGGTGGGGAGTTTGAGACCTTGGAGGGACTGAAATTTCAATTTCACGAGGAGAGGTTGGCTGTGAAGAAATTTTTCAAATGCGGGAGGGAATAGGCCGGGGACGGGAATTTGTATGATGCAAGGTTTTCGAGGGGAGAGGGGGAGAGAGCTCGCCGAACGATTTATCGATTTGTTGGAAATAACTTTTCCAACGATCATACATTCGAGAAAGTGAGTGACGCGAGGGGGAGGGAAATTGTTGATAAAAAAATCATGGATATCTTAATACTCCTTTAATGATTTTACGAGGGGGCACGATGCTATATAGGGGTAATTTGCATAAACTATTTGTAGCTAGGGGCAGTGATTCGTATCGTATCTTTTTGATACAGAAATTACATGTAATCTGAGGCAATCATCGGCATGAATATTAAAGGAATGTACGGATAGCTGAAAGGTATTTAGTACTTTAATATTTTCACCGTCTACTTATCGTTCTCGTTATTCCGTGTTGTTGCTTAAAACTAGTAGTTTTAACAAAGTGTTATAGAATGTTGAAACTATTATTACACTTTAAACTGTTTACATTCGCGTTCTGATATAGTCGCCATAATTATTTAACGTGCGTTTTTAGTGCGTAAAAATATATTTTTTTCTTTTTTTTTTGATTACATTAATGTTAACGAAAAAAGATTAAAAAGTTTCGTAAAACTTTATTAACTTTGTGAAAATCTCGAACGATCATTTAACGTATCGCTCGTTTACTTGATATATCGGTTGATCAGAGGGTTTGATTAAACGAGATTAATTAATTGTCGAGAACAAATTTGATTTTTATCCAAATATAAATAATTCGCGATCGATAATTTGACCGAAAAAAAAAAGAGGACGCGTTTTATTTATACAGTTAATTAACAACAGCCGATGAAGAATATTCGTTTCAATAATAAAAAATCTTTAACGAGCAAATATTTATTATTAATAATAATCTGTATATAACAATGATTTTTAAATTGAACGATCGAAGATTCGTCGAGTTTTACAAGACACGAAAATCATGCTCGAACAACTCCATTCTTCTGCTAGAAAGATCTCGTTCCGCGCAATAGTATGGATCCATCAAAGAGAGAGGTGACGAAATCTTTTTAGCGTGTTCCACCGAAAAGTCTTCCGATTCGAAGCGTGTGTATTCCGTTTTACGAGATAACTCCGATAGATAGCCGCGTTTCCTCCTGAGAAATGAAAGGAGACGCGTTTACGGCTGAGCAAACGGTTGGAGAGAAAGAGAAAGATCGAAAGAAAAACCGGAGGAAAGAGAGGGAGGGAGAGAGAGAGAGAGAAGGAGAGAATAAAAAAAGAGGAAAGGAAAAAGCACGACGGGGCAGGGAAGGTAACAACGAGCCGATTCAACGACCAAACCCTCGCTCTTACACCTTCTTCCTTTCCTCCCTCCTCTTCGCTTCGGTCCTCGCACTTTTTTCCCCCTTCTTTTTTTTTCTTCTTTTTTCCCCGAACAAACATCGAGCGGTATCTACACCCGCGCGACTAGAGGCGGTAAGTTGGCGCGAGGCCAAGATAGCACGTGCCTTCACGCACCGGTATTACACCGCTCTTCCACCAACGATCGATACTAATTATTACAACGAACGAAGGGATACGGTTGAAGTAACCATAGCCTCGAATTTTCTTCTCCTCGCGTTAAATTTTTCTTTTTTTTTTGTTTTACTCAAAACACAATTTTTATAACACGTTCCCGTTTATTACTCGTTATTACTAAGAGATAAAGATGTTGGAAAACGAGCAGTTGTTTACGGGCGATAACACGAATGAAACGATGATAGTTATTAACGAAAGGAAGTAACGATACTTTCGTAACATAACATGTAGCAATTTGGATGTGGACTGGTTGATAGAATAAAAGGCGAGGAAAGCGTTATAATAACTCGGTTCATCGGAAGTCGATTTCGACGGTGTGGAATAAACGTTGGTACGGATCGAATTATTATTATCGATTTACGAGGCACGCGATGATCCACGAATACGAATACGAAAACAAGGGAGCGAGAGCGTTACTTTAACCTCCGCGTTACAATGTTGGGTACGATCGGTTTCTCGTGCAAACTGATATTTATGGTAGCCCTGATGGTGTGGAGGGCTTGCACATTACGGCGTGGAGTGCGTGAGCGCAAACCATAATCCGTGGCTGGAATGGTATCGCTTTGCTACGTGAGAAGTAATTGAAGGGTGTCGGTACACTTTTGCACGCCGGGTCAGCCGTGTTAACGATCCCTCGGCCAAATATTAAAGATCGTTGCCGCGAAATTAAATTTCCTTTTCCGACGTCCTTGACACATTGCCTCGTTTGCGCCGAGTCCAGTGGGAAACGAAAATGGCCGCGAAACAAGTAATCGCGAGTTGAAACCGTTACTCTTTTTACCCTCGCCTTTATCATCTTTTCGGTACTTTTATTGGCGAGCAAGCGAGGAAAACGTTACTTCGGCGGCCGTAATGAAAAAACTGGAACCTATTAAAATAAATGGGACGAGCGCGTGCCTAACGACACCTTATCTTTTATGGTTTTTAGGGCTCGAAGGAACAAAACTTGGCAAACGGAGCTCTCTCTCGGTGGAAAGAAGAAGAAAGAAATTTCACGATGCGCAGTTACGGGACACCCTGTACGTATTTGTTATGGTATGGATTCACGATTCTTTCCTTCCTTCCTTCTGCATTTTTTTGTGTTCACGAAACGAGTCGTCGCGTTTGAACGATTCCAACAACGATCTTGGATTCCAACGTTCGAAATCCTCGTAGACGATGATTTTATGGTCTAATGGCTGTACGATATCGATCTCGATCTTTTTACATCGTGGAACCTACAGTGATCTTGGACGATCCGTTTCTTTCCATAATCTTTTTTTATAATCTCGCGTGAAAATTAGAAAAAGAACCTTTTTTTTTTTTCCTCCTCGAAGGTTCGACTAATTTTCGGTAATAATTTTGGGAGAAATGTGGACGGATTAGTGAGATTATGGTTATTGCGGACGCGAGGCACGCGTTTCCTTGTGTGTTCGTGCAAGTGCTTAAGTAGCGTTCGAGCGGCACGGTCACCTGCCTTCACGCTGGAGTGACTTGTAAATCACTCCACCGAAACTAGGGTACGTGCCGGCGAGGCGGACAAAGAAAAACCACGAAAAAAGGAGGAGGGAAAAACTGATGCTTAATCGAGACAAAACAACGGATTGGACGACAAACTAATGCTCCTTTCGTCGCTTTCGTCGTTCTTGCTCACTGATCGTTTCAAAATAATTTCTATTCGAAAAGACGCAATTATTCGAACGAGGATATATACGATTCCGAATATCCGCGAGGTATGACAAAATATTAATTAAATAGTTGTCTCGTGTACTCGAGAAACGAGGGGGTTCAAGGACAGGAGAGAATCGTTTACCGATCGTCCTTGACACTGGTGAACGGAATCGTATTTTGGTGAGCGTGCGTAGGAGTGTGGCGTTCGGGAGGCGAGTTGTACGCGAAGGGTTTCTTTTGTCGGTGCACGAAGTCGAAGCACGCGTGCTGCACGTGCCTTGTTGCAGACGTGACTCGGTCACCATTTCGTCTTATATTTAGTTAACCGTCTTATTTTTCCTCCCTTTGCGCCCTGAAAAACAAGCGGTCGCGCTCTTACGCTTGTCCGAGCTTGAAATCGCATCGGTACACCGAACAACTGTGACCCAAATATCTCGTTTAATATTTTTCTCCTCTTTCCACCTTCTTTTTCGGCGTTCCAAATATTTTTTCCTCCCCTCTTCGCTATAAGTTTTACAATCGAATCGTCCCGAGACAGAAAATAGAACTTACTACATTAGTGATTTTCTTGTATCCACATTGTTTTCCCCCGTTTACTTTAATCGGGATTATCCCGAGTACAGCTGTCTCCCGCCGTGCTCGTCCTGGTTATCTTCAAATTCCTCTCGGCTTATATCCTGAGTATCAAGTTTTGGACTTTTTTTTTTTTTTTTTTTACGTACGCTTATACGTCGGATGCTCGCCGTATGCCAGAGTGGACCACCAGATGGTCCACGATCGTCTGCTGCCCGCTCTGCCATCTGATGCCCAACTTTCGCATTGTTTCTCTCCGCCCATCGAATCGATCGCGAAATAAATTCTGCCAGTACGAAACGATTGTATATCGTCGTGTGTGGATTGTATATCGTGGAAGGTGGAAACGATAACGCAATTTCTTCCTCCTTTCCAGTTCTAATTCTAGTTTATTCTCGCGTTCTATCCTGAAATACGAACATTTTAGACGGGACTTGGAGCTTTCGAGTTAATTATTTCACGCATGCGCGAATTGTTCGAAAGCAGCGCGACATGTGGCAACGTGTGGAACCGAAATGGGAGTATTCTACTATTAGAAAAGAGGCAATTTCTATCGCGAGGATAGACGATAATAGCTTCGTAGTGCGGTACTGGTTACGTCATAAAATCCCTCTATGAACCGCAACGATTTTAACTCTTCGACACTGTGTTTCTTACCTTCGCAAAACGTGCGCACACGTTTCGTCCGTACGCAGGCAGAAACGTCGTAAACGGCGTAAATGTTACCCAATAGGTACTTACCTCGCTCGTCTTCTTTTTCCTCACGGCCAGGCATTCGAGCCTGGCAGCACCTTCGTATCTTCGTTTCTGGCCACCACCCTATTATTCTTTGCTCCCGCCAACCGATAGCCAATGCATTTCGCATTTCTTCACGTGTGTAGGCATCTTGATGACATGTGGCTGGCGCGGTCAGACACCCATTTATAGCCCTACAGTCTTTCCTATCTTTTTCAGATTTTACTTTCTTTCCTAGCTAACATTTTTTTTCTTTTTTTTCGAGGCGAGCCAACTTTCCCCCTCCCATCTCTCTCTTTTAGTTTATTCTTAGAAGAGATTCACTGGTAAATTAGAGGAGATCTCCATCGTTGGCGAATCGTGGCTTCGTGGGAGAGCGAGGGATTCGTCTCGCGAGCGGCATATGGCGTAGGCGATATCGTGGCCGTTTTGTCGTCGTTATTGCCCGACCCTACCAATTACGGGGCGCGATTTAAGGGAGTTTTTTTTCCCCCCCCTCCCGATTAAAAGGGTATACACGTTACCGTTATTAGGGCAACGATCGAGGGCTGTTTGTTGTGGGCCTTTGTTTTGCGTGCCAGACCGTGCCACGCAACCAAAATGCGTGGGAATAAAACGCGTCGTTGCGATATCGTTACCGTACGTTACGAGAAAGAAAGTACGTAAGTAAGGGAGAGAGAGAGGAACGGTTTTAAATTTTTCGCGAATATAAATTAACGAATACGCTTGATGCGATCCAACGAGCGGAAGGATACGGAGGAAAAGAGAAAGGATTATCCTGTTTTGACGTGTGCACGGTTGGTGGTAGCGTAGTTCTTCATCGGGAAAAGCATCTGTTACCGCTCCCCGCCCCTTTCTCCCCTATGGGTCCTTTTCCTCGCCTCGGATCGAGATCCTCCAATGATTCACGGCGGACAGTTCCCTCGAAAGGGTTTGTGCGGGTACGGATGGCGGTGGTGGAGAGAGGAGAGAAGGGAAAGGAATGGTCGCGTGCCCGCATCACCTGCGCCATGCAAAAATCTGTGGAAAAGTGGAAAAAAGCTACTCTCGCAGCTGCTTCCCCATCATCATCTAGATGTCTTATTCAAATAAACACTCGAATATGTGTGTGTATGTGTATGCGGACAAGGCGGACCGGAAAAGGGATGATTTTCAGAGGCTGTTTTCGAACGAATCGATGGAAAAAGGGGGTGAAAGGTTTGGAAGAAATGGAAGCGTTATTATTGACGATTATTATTTCGTTATCCGTTGTCGGAGAAAAGGGTTGGGTAGCAAATTCACGTATGGGCGCTCGCATCTGCCGCGATCGTTACTTTGAATTTTTCTGTTTGGGAAGCGGCGATTGTGGTGGCGGCCAACAACGTTTCTTCTTCTCTGTGTTGTTCTCTGGCAGGCTGCGCGCGGCGCGCACGCAGACGCGTATCGAGCCGCCATGATGCCCCGCGGTTTGCTCGCGGCTGACCTCTCGTAGCCCTCTCGTGCAGCCCTTGGACGTTAAACTCAGCAGTTTCATTCATCGTCTTGCGATCTTCTCTTCTCCTTGATGAATTCTTCGACGATCCGAACGCGTTCGTTCGAATAGGCGTTGCGGGACGAGCGAGGACAGTTCGAAGTACAGTCGAGAAGAAGTATAATATACCATTGTGTTATAGGTCGAGACGTAATTCAGTCAGTCGTTTAGCTTTGTTTACGTATCCTTTCACAAATGAAACGACTTCTCTCTCGTGTTTATACAGAAGCGTTTCCAAACACAAGATGTTTTCGCAATGTCTTTGTTATAAGAAGTATACGTATATATATATATATGTGTATATATAATATACATACGTATAATTAATTGATTAATTTTTTTTTTAAACGAAATTAATAATCATAAAATTCGCTGTGGAAAAATGTATAATAGAAATTAGTTACGATACTGAGCATATGCACGATAGAATCGAGGTAAGGTGGCCAAAGGAGTAAGAGTGTGTGCGGGGGTGGCCAGGTGCAGACTCCCGCATATAAGTGATTGTCGGGAAAGCGAGGGTGGATGAAGAAAAAAAAAAAAAAATATGTTCCGGCATACGGCTCGTCTATGGCATAACTGTGGTCAGTGATAAAACCAGATCAAACAAGCTGAAACAACACTAGCCTTCCCGATAATCGGGAATTTAATCGAGAGTTCTATTCCAATCTTCAAACTGGTCAAAAAGCTTTGAGCGTGCGACGCAATGTGCGTTGTCGATTGTTTTTTTTTTTTTTTACGTTTGCAACGTTTGTTGGAACGGAAACGGGGCTATCGTCGGCGATCAAAAAGAACGTGCAAGTGATTACGACGGGGGTGTACGTATCGAGCCGCTATCTTGGAATGGGGTTGTTGGGCGGCTGGTCGGTGGTCGGTTATCGATCGAGCACGAGGATAAATACTCGTGGGATAGGCAACCACCTGCAGAGGGGCAGGTGATGCGAGACATAATCAGAATTGGGCGCCAATCTGTCCTAATCACCCTCTTTTCGTCCTCCACGTTTGTTTCATACATGTCTGTATCGCAATGCGCTCTCCACCCTCCACGCTGACTCATGGAACGTAGAGAGAGAGAGAGAGAGAGAGAAAGAAATATGCTATTACGAGGGGGAACATGGAAATATATCTAAAAAATCTCTGCTTATTTCACATGCAACACATGCATATTACGTCCCGTTTCTCCTAAAATTTTATCGAATTGTATATTTATAAATCCAAGGTTGCTCGTTAATCGGACAATCTCGACGAGTTTCTACAATCGTAATAATACACCGATTCGATTTAAGGGCGAGGTGAAGGATAGGAATCGGATCATTCCGATCGATCGTTTTTAATAAAAACATACGTTTATGATTACGAGTATCGCTCTGCCCATTTTCAATGGCAAACGCGATCTTACATCGATCATAAAATAGCAATTTTACACGGGCAGAGCGGTATAATATCGCGTCACCGCTCGAAAGAAGATCGCGAATAACGCCGTCCCTTGCTTTGGAATGCGGTCAAATTTATTCGAAAAGTTGAACGCAATCGTAATCGAGTTAATAATATCGAAAAAAGGAAGAAATTCCACCCCTCCCCTCCTCCCCTTCCTCCCGTTATTTTCTTGCGCGCGTCCCGCTATGCGATAATGCGAGAAAGGGAATTGACGGGGACGATAGACCCGCGCTAGACGTCGTCGATAGACCGGTCTTGGATAAAAAGTGAGCGGACACTCGAACGCAGCCTTGCATGCTTGAGCGGTTGGATGTCACGTTCACTGGGTTAGTACTGTCGATCGATGTAGCCGAGTCTCTTTAACGAGTCGTTCCCTCTCTTCCTTCCTCTTCTCTCTCTATTTCTTCATTTCGATCATGCGGGTCGTCCCTCGACGCACGTACGTACCTCGCTAGCCTGCCAACCTGCTTCCCTCCCTTTCCTCCTGTCCGGCTGTAAACGCAGCCTTTTTTGCATCCTTTGATCCTCACGGTTTTACACATTCGAGAACATTTCATTTCGAAATGACGGAGAACCGACGGAGCACGTGCTCCTATTTCGAATCGAGAGTCATCCGTTAGAGACAATGGGAGAGAGAGAGAGAGAGAGAGGAGAGAGAGAGAGAGAG